TTTTTTTTAGTTTTTGAAAATGAAAATTATTAAAATACCATTAACCTTAAAACATAGAATCCATGATATATAGGTTTATAAGGGTATTTTTTTTCTACTAAAATCCGGTACACATTGCTAAAATGTTCCAACTGAAAAATGAAAAACATATATATATATATATATAATTAACCAAAATAAATGATTTTTTTTTAAACAGTACTTAAACTTACCCACTACACTATTTAATATGCTATATACTTAATAACTATATATCATTATCAAGAATATATTTATTTATAAGTTTAAGTTTTGAGATTCATAATTTTCGGGTATAAAAAAAAAATCCAAACTGCTAATGGTTCTTTAAAATATTACTATGATTTTCATCATTGCCTATTTTTTAACAAATAATTTGTTGGTTCCTTTTTAATGTTTGACAACTAAGCTATTCATATCAGATTGTGAATGTTGTTCCAAGTGCTAAAGAACAAAAAAAATAGAAACAAAAAAATAACCTATGAATAACGTTGTTCAAAGAGTAAGAATAAAAAACAAAATAATGTTTCTGATGTCTTTCCAAAGATGTGAAGGATGTGATCGTTAATGATTTTTAAAAACAACCATAACTTTGTTATTTTCCATTCTAGTCTATATGAAGTCGTGCTATTGAAAATAATATACAGGTTAATTTACTCTAAAAATCCTATATTCAAAGCCAAAATGGTGCTCCCACTTTTTGCTTTGATTGAATGGGATAAAAACTCTGAAACAGTCAAAACTGTCACTTTACATTGCAGCTTCCAGGAAAGATCCTTTCACTTTTTCTATTGATATGTTAAAAACTATGTAAGAGAAATAAATGGAACAGAGTAGATTAATAGTTTAGAGTTTATTTAGTTGATTATATCGACATAATTTTTTGAGGTTTACAAGAAGAGAAATTTGACAAATAAAACAGACAACCTTTATTTGGATGCACCATACCGTCCCTAATGTTTTTGTGATTTCTTTAATTTTGTATTGAAATCAAAATAAAAAAAACTATTTGTTTACTTCTATATAAATATTATTTGATATAATATTTATTATATATATATATTATATTATAGATATGTTATTATCTAACTTCACTCATTTTTTTTCTAATTTTCTTCTTAAAAAATTAGTGACGTCCTAGAAAAATCACTTTGACAACCAAAGTGATCTAGCTACGGATGTTCATTGCATCCTTTTAGCCAAAAGAATTATAAAAGAAGAATATTGGTAAATTGTAACTACCAAAAGTATATTTCATGTCATAGTTGTCATAATCAAAGAGTGAAGTGTCCTATGTATATATATATCTACAAACTTCCATAAACTCAATAGTTTCACCATCAAACAAATGAATGCAACAACCACAAACAAACATAAGTATATATGCAATTATATATACAATCTAACATTCACTTAAAGGTTATAATTTTTCCATCATAATAAATGTAATAGTAACAAAATTGTAAATAAGATAAGACTAAGATAAGACTTTCTATGTAGTTTATCACTAGAATAAGAATAAAAAGTTGAAATAATAACAATTTTGTAATAAAATATAAAATTTTTATATCAATTATACTTAGAAGCGGCATTGAAAGTAAGAGTGGTAATAATTTATAATAGAGTATAAATTTTGTATGTTGATTAAATTTAGATTTAACATAAAAAGTAGAAGCGGGACAATTTTATAATAAATTACAAGACTTTATATGTTAGTTATCACAAGCACGGTCATAATATCTTTAATTTCTTTCTTTCCTTCCAGTCTTCTTGCACTGCACTTCTCACTCCCAACTCTCATCCCCTATGCACCTTATTTGCCTCTTCCTCTCCTCCTCACTACACTGCACACTCTCGCTTTCACTCTTGCTCTTGTTCTCCTAGGTCACTCTCACTCTCGCAACTCTCTCATTTGGCAAGTGGGTGATTTTTTTCTCATTTAGGGTTTTCTTCATTCCTTCTCTCTTCCTTTCTCTCTCTTAATCAATATTATAGTTTTTTAATATTGGTCATCACAACTCCATCACCATCGGCACCAACATGCTATTAGGCCCTTCATCTCCTCCAACACACATGTCTTCGTATTGCTTAACGACGCCTCCTTCACCATATTCTTGACAACATCAAGGTCTAGAAGCTTAATGTCCCCGACAACTCCTTCATGTCCTCCACCAAGTTCACCAACAGATTTCATGTTTGTGCCTACTTTGGCATGATGAAGCTTAATCATGAACTCGTCAAGAGCTTCTTCCTCCAAGCTCGACGTAAATATGACTTTCTCCTAGCCTTCTAAAACTGTCTTTGTCATTCGTAGAGGTCTAAAAACAATAAAAACACAAAAGTAGAAAATCACAATTTCTATGTTAGTTATAACACAACTAGCCTAGAATGTAAACTTTTTATGTCGATCCATAACTAACATAGAAAGTGAAAATTTTCTATATCAACTATATTTATGTCAACTCCATAACAAATATAAAAATATTTTTTAACTAACATAGAAAACCTGTGTTGCACTAGTAACTTATATTAATCATCGTATTTGACAACATATCACATTATTAAAGTATAACTTTCAAAAATTTAATTGTTTTGAAAAGTTATATATTTATTATTTAATCAAAATGACTTTATTTAACACTGAAAATAAGAATAATTACCTATAGTAAGAGTATGAATATTTTCAAGGGGACGGTGTTACTTAAAACAAAAGTTGATAATATAGTAAAATTATTATCCAAATTTATACTCTTCAATTCTAACATTATGTTCTTATGTCCTTCTTGTGCATTAGGTTAAAAAAGAATAGTTGAGTTGAAGAAAGAGGTGAATTGAACTATCACAAATTCTTTAAAACCTTAAAGTAAATAATGGAATTCTTATTAAATATATAAAGTGATGTACTTAAAACGTTTGGAATTAAAAGATTGATACAATCTACTCACAAACCAAAAAAAATATTAAATATACACAACTAAAACTAAAAATAATATGAATAGATTAAATATATATGAATAGATTAAAACTAAAAACTAATATACACGACTAAAAATAAAATACTTATAAAATATTAAGTTATCTTATAATTTAAAACATCACAATTCTTTGGTTTTTAATTTGTTCTTATTGTATTACGTTATTTCTAAATTAATGTATTTGAAGAAAAAGAATAAGGTCATTTCATTGAAATACATTGTTATTTGCAAGAGAACCTTTTGCTGTTTTCTTTACATTATAATTCATTTTCCTTATAGTAGTAATTTAACATTATTTTCTCAAGTCAAGACAATTTTTTCATTTTCAACGTAATTTTAAGTGAATTCTTTATTATTTGACTTTTCTCCAAGGTGCAAAGTCCTCGTATTAACACTCCAAAGTATACTAACTACATACTTTTTTATGAGGTTTATAAGCAGAGGAAAGAAAGGAGTTTGCAAAATTATAATGATAAAAATGTTCCCACCATTATTTAGATGCAACAGCCAGCCAAAAAAATATGTCTGTCTGATTAATGTTTTATAATTTGTTTCAGAAATCAAAATCAAAGTATTTTTTTTGTTTATTTTTTATTTTTTATTTAACCATTTTATATTTATTCTATTATAACATTTATAGATATTTGTTATGCTATCTAACTATTTTATTNTATTGTATTACGTTATTTCTAAATTAATGTATTTGAAGAAAAAGAATAAGGTCATTTCATTGAAATACATTGTTATTTGCAAGAGAACCTTTTGCTGTTTTCTTTACATTATAATTCATTTTCCTTATAGTAGTAATTTAACATTATTTTCTCAAGTCAAGACAATTTTTTCATTTTCAACGTAATTTTAAGTGAATTCTTTATTATTTGACTTTTCTCCAAGGTGCAAAGTCCTCGTATTAACACTCCAAAGTATACTAACTACATACTTTTTTATGAGGTTTATAAGCAGAGGAAAGAAAGGAGTTTGCAAAATTATAATGATAAAAATGTTCCCACCATTATTTAGATGCAACAGCCAGCAAAAAATATGGTCTGTCTGATTAATGTTTTATAATTTGTTTCAGAAATCAAAATCAAAGTATTTTTTTTGTTTATTTTTTATTTTTTATTTAACCATTTTATATTTATTCTATTATAACATTTATAGATATTTGTTATGCTATCTAACTATTTTATTTCCTTAACTTAGACTTTTTGTTTGACAAAAATCTCTTCAACCCTTTGTGGTTACAAGCTTGCAGCAACAAATGGGTAGTTATCACAATCAAATGACTAAATCCGTATATAGTTACTATAGTTGTATATATAATGGATCCAGATCAGCAAGGTATACGCAAATTTCTGCCATATCCTACCTTTAGAACCCTAAAAGAAGGAATTGCCAACCTCTAAACATGGTGAACTGAGTTGAAAAATGTTGACCCTTTGGTAAATTTTCCGACTCATATTTACTGGGGAATCATCATGGCTTTTTTGAATCTTCCTCATTTTCCGCAAATACAGAAAGGAAAAGGGTCATTTTTTGTATTGGATAACCCTTTTGCGGGGTTGGCATTTTCTGTCAGCACCACCACAAACCCATCTTCCCTCTAAAATATAAGTTATATATAGCCAATTCTACTCCAAGCAAATTTAACCAGCCATATTTTAGGGCGTTTCTTCTTTCAACGGTCTCATCAGGAAGGTAAATAAAAGTTGGACTTAAAAGGAATTCATTCTTTGAATTTCAACACCTTCACTTTCCAAACTCATTATCTGGGTCCTACCTGATCAAGTGCAAGGAGAACTCTCTGCCTCCATATTTGTTTCATTATATCTTTTGTTGTAACATCAGACATTAAGGTAAGCATTACATAAATTTATATGTAAGATGCGGTGCAATGATATAAATACGTTGTTTTTACAAAGTTTCGTGTAATGAGATTTATCTGTACATTGCTCCTTACTATGTATCATCTGCTGCATGCATGCAGAAACCTTTTGCAAGCGTATAATGAGTTTCAGAGTGAGAGATCAAGAAAAAGAATCCGATTCTCCAAGAGAGGTTGGAGAGATTGACACAAGGGCTCCATTTCAATCTGTTAGAGCAGCAGTTAGTTTATTTGGTGAAGTAGCCGTGTCAAGGGACAAACGTTCTTTCAAGAGAAGATCGTCAGAGGTAAACATCAAACTTAATTTTTCCTTAAATACAATTTAGTACAAGGACATCTGCTATTTGAAAATGAATAATTTATCCTTAAAAAAATATCTTTTTAAATTTAAGGATGTTAATTACCAGTTTGATTTTAAGATTAGAATATGTCGTTAATATTTTTCAATTGTGAGTTGCAGAATGTGCTGGAAAAGGAGACTCAGCTTCTCTTGGCCCAGAGAGAATTAACCACAATAAAGAAAAAGCTGGATAGTTCTGAGATCACAAAAGGAAAAGCACTTTCCGAGCTTGATAAGGCCAATTTAACACTTCAGGAATTGGCAAAGAAGCNAACAATTTAGTACAAGGACATCTGCTATTTGAAAATGAATAATTTATCCTTAAAAAAATATCTTTTTAAATTTAAGGATGTTAATTACCAGTTTGATTTTAAGATTAGAATATGTCGTTAATATTTTTCAATTGTGAGTTGCAGAATGTGCTGGAAAAGGAGACTCAGCTTCTCTTGGCCCAGAGAGAATTAACCACAATAAAGAAAAAGCTGGATAGTTCTGAGATCACAAAAGGAAAAGCACTTTCCGAGCTTGATAAGGCCAATTTAACACTTCAGGAATTGGCAAAGAAGCTCAACAGTGTTAGACAATCAAAGCAATCAGCCATAGAGGCTGCTGAAGCTGTGAAGAATCAAGCCAAAGAACTTGAACAGGCATTATCTCAAAAAGCTATAGGATATGAAGCATGGAAACAAGAACTAGAGCATGCAAGAAAAGAGTACACAACAACAGTAAAGGAACTAGATGCCTCCAAGCAAGAACTCAATAAAATCAGGCAGGATTTTGACACAGCTTTGGAGGCAAAACTGGCTGCATTCCAAACAGCGGGAGAGGCTCAGCGTTCTGCAAAATTGAACTCAGAAAAGCTCCAAGAACTCTCAAACCAAATTGCAACCATGAAAGAACAAATTCAACATTTGAAGGTTGCCTCATCACAAGCCCAAGATGGTCAGGTAAAGGCCATGGAAGAAAGAGAAGCACGAGTTAGTTTCTACAAAAATGCCAAGGAAGAAGCACAGAATAAATTGATGGCTTTGAAGAACGAATGTGACCAGGAACTAACACAGGGTCTAGAGGCCAAACTTCATGAAACAAGTATAGAGATTCAGGTTCTCCAAGAACAGGTGAAACAGGCACATGCTTCAGAGATGGATACAGTGAGAGTTATAACTTTGGAGATCGAAGAAGCCAAAAAAACACTTTAGGAAGTTCTAGAAGAGGAAACCTCCCTGAGAAACCTAGTGGATTTACTTAGGACAGAGTTAGAACAAGTCAAGAAAGAGCAAGAGAATCTCAAGGAGAAGGAAAAGGCAGCAGAAGCCCATGCTGCTACCCTAACTGATAAACTACGGAATGGATCAGAAGAGACAAGTTCTGCGGTGGAAAAAGAATCTGAAAACTGTGCTAAAGTAGAATTGAGGATCAAACAGCTTTCATTTGAGACAGAAGTTGCAAGAAAGGAAGAAGAAGAAATAAGAAGCAAAACTCAAGAGCTGAAGCATGAGGCTGAAAAATCCAAAGCTGTGGCAGAAGAATTGGAGAAGAAACTTGAGCTTTATATGAAACAGGCTGAGGAAGCCAGAGAAGCAGAACGAAAAGCCATTGTGGCGATGAAGATGATGTCTGAAAGTGTCGACAGTCAAGACACGGGCTCAGTTTTAGATGCTAATGGAAAGATCGTGTTGACAGTTGATGAGTTTGCAGCATTGAGTGGGAAAATCAAGGAATCTGAAGACTTGATTGACAGAACGGAAACAGCATCCATGGCTCAGGTGGAAGCAATCAACTTAAGAAAGAATGAAGTGAACAAAAAGGTGGAGGCAAACCTGAAAGCAATTGAGGAAATAAAAGCTGCGACAGACATGGCTCTGAAGAATGCAGAGATGGCAGATTCTGCTAAGGTTGTAGTTGAGAACGAACTAAAGAAGTGGCGTCTAGAAGAACAAAACTTTGAAGGCACAGAAAATTCTCCAAGATCAATCTCTCTGCGTATTTAAAAGTGAAAATCTCAGCCTCGGTTATGCAGCAAAAGGGACTAACACTTATCAGTATTCAATAGCATTCACTGGCTTTGTGCCTTAATTTCTCTTGGGAGTTGAAAGGCTCCTTGCACCACATGATCAATCATTTAGCTTTCAAAGTCATATCACTGTTTCCAACTTCCATGCAAATGTGAATGCTTATTGTCAAATTCCTGGCTTCTTTAGTTCCTTGAGAACAGAAATTTTTCATGTTCTACATTTTTAGAGAAAACGTTCAGATCCTATTCTTTGGTGTTCATCGTTTACAAACGTGTCAATTAGGTGAAGAAGCTATAAACAAGTATAATCTTCAATGATGTTCTCCTAATAAGTATTTTTAAGAGAAAACAATTTAAAAAGTAAAATAAAATGGACTTCTGTCTGATATAACTAATATACAAATTAAAAACAAGAAGTTAAAAAAAGTATGCACAACTTTAATTTACGACATCAACTTCGTATTCTATTTCTATTTTTTTAACCTGAATGTATTTCCCAAGAAGTCATTCAAAATGGCTGCTGAAGCTACCTTCTGCTTATTCTTAGGAGAATTTCTTAGAAATGATAAAATAAAAGAGATTTGTTTGGAAAAAATCATAATCACTTTTATAAGGTAAAAATAATCGATTCTCTATATTAATTTATAGAAATTATTTTATATTAGTTTTCATATAAAATTTTATTTCAATTAATGTATGAGTTAATCCAACTTAGGAAGGAAGAAGTTTATTTTTTATTTCTTCTATTTTTTAAGAAGTGTTTACTTTTGAGTTTCTCTTAACATGTTTACAGAAAATTATCATATAAGAATAGTATGTGACTGTGACAATAAATCAAATGAACAATTAAGAAAAAAAACTGTTTTCAATGCATTGATTAATTATATATACATAATATAATTCACATCCCAAAAAAAAATATAAGAAAGTATCTCAACATATAACACTGTAATAATTGATTATTCTTACTTAATAGAAAAGATATACATAGTTTAAGATAGATCCTACTTATTGCATTAGATGTTGTTGGAAGAATTTTCTGTTCTCCATATAGGTACAAATTGAATGTCTTTTCATTATAATATTTTATGTAAAAAAATGGAAATGAATAGGCTCTTTTTCCCCACAAACATACACTATTTATCTCCAAGTTCAGTATTTCAAACACAAACTTTTATGTATTTGAATAGAGAAGGGAGTTTTAAGATTAAAAATGCAAATATCTAGCTTTAGAAGAAACATAATGGGAAAGATCACATTTAATAACATTTCTTACTTGCCTTATGGCATAATGCAAATCTAGGATCCGCTTTATTTTTACTACTACTCCCTAAATTTCTCAAGCTAACATAAACAAGGCTAACTTGTACTGCGGAATCCTGATGGTAGTGAAGAGGAAGAACCCTTGTACTATATTAGTTTTCAAATGGTTAGTAGGACTGGAAAAAGACCACATGACCAACATTGACAACATTATCCATCAATCTTCAATCACAACTCCCATTGCTGATCTTAAACTTGTGTAGCTCAGACTCTAAAGTCTTGACAATCTCAGCTTTCTCAGCAGGAGGTTCAGGAAAATCTACATGGAATGATCCCTGCTTGATTGGTTCAACAGCTTCATGGATTCTGGATTGTTCCTTTATGTGATTGTAGAGCTTCTGATGGAAAGGATGATCCAAGGAATAGCAATTTTCATTTCCACTTCCATTATCTGAATGTTTCGATGATCCAGAGCCTTCTCTTTTACAGAAATGTGGCAGAGATGCAAAATCCATGATCTAGATGCAAATTTTATTTGTTAATTTCCACTGAAGGATATAAAAACAGACAACAGGTTATCAAACATTTATTTATGACAAAAAAAAGGAACTACTCCACAAGCTTATTAATAAGGACTGAACAGAAAAGTAAAGAAATTTTCAGGATAAGATTGTACACACTTCCACAGGAATGAACTTCTCCGTTCTGGCTACTGCTACCTTTTATGGAAAAACAGTGCAGAGATTCATATATGTCATAGAATAATTAATTTCTATGCTTGTAGATTTAAGCAGTGAAGAGCATGCATGCTGTTGAAAGAAATACAGAAAAGATTCTCATTCATAGGCATGTACTACTGTCTCTTATCTGGGGATAAAATTTCCAATTTAGCATCTCTACGACAAAATAAAAACAACCACTTTACCTTCAACAGTTCATCTCGCCCACAACCCGGCAAGACTTGCACTTTTCTTCTTGTTCTCTCTTGCAGAAGTGGCTTCACAACCTGCCAAAGCAAAGTGTTAAGCATTATCCCTAAGTGCATAACTTAAACCAATATAATGAACAAAAATATCATACAGAAAACAAAAGTCACAAGGAATACCTTCCAACAGGCTGAAAATATGTATGGGACATTTACAATGTAATAAGTATTTGTTTTCTCAGGGTAGTTCAGATCATCAATGGATGATATTATTGTTAACAACTGCATCAGCATGAAAGACAACTCAGCAATATAGGAAAATGTTTAAAAACAAAGGCAGTAGGTTGAACAAGTCTTCTGCTTTGTGCATTTCTGCACAAAGTAATAACAATAATAGTTTAATTTAAACTCAATCTTGGAGTGCAACTTTGAGTAAGTCCATTACTTCCAGATATGCTCTAGTTTACTGAACATGATATCTGTATGAATTAGAAGTACCTTGATCTGATTTAGGGCTGACAACTTCAGACCAGTCATATCCAAAACTTTTATGCATGTGGTAATAGGCTGTCCATGCTTCTTTGATGCAGAAGGCTACAAGCATATACAGGTCAAAACAAATAAAAGGGCAGAAGCTAAATTAGCAGGTTAATAAAAAAATCAAGAATCTGAAGACTTCAAAGTGAAATGCCCACCAATATTACACGATCACGATATTCGTTAATTTGAATATGAGACTGCACATAATAATGAACCTGCAATTATACAAGCATGCAAAATAGTGTTAGAAAAGATAAGAACACAAGGCCTTTAAGATGAAGAAATAGATAGTGCCCCAAAGTCCTAATGTAGCCGCTAAAAATGCTTACAGATGCTTTGTCAAATGTGCTAAGCCCAACACCAATTGCAAAGACAGGAAGACCCTGGAAAGTATGGAAGGCAGAACAAGCATTAAAATTGGGAAGATGTGATATAACAAGCAAGTTAGGTAATCTTGATTAATGACAATAAAAATGTAATCAAGAACAACTAAGACGATGTGTACTGAGATAAGATTGTGTTTGAAGAGCACCTCTCTTGAGTAACCTGACAAACCTATAAGTTGTGAATCACGAATGCCTCGGTATAAATCAGTAGGAATTATGGGCTTCTGAAAAAATGAAACAGCATCCATGCTTAACATGTAAGAACTCAGTCTTGTGCAATAAGTATACATTTTAATAAGATTTTGACAATAAATACACAAAGGGCCCCAATGAGAACATTTCCAAATTACAGACAAAACTCCAAACTAAAAAATCTGAACTGCCAAAAAAACGTCTAAACAATAAACTAGACTTACCGATAATATGTTGTCAATTTCATTTTGCACTCTCCAATTTAGACATTCGATTATCTGAAAAATAATACAGGCATCTACAACTAAGTTAAATGGATAACAGTCAATTTCCAACAATAAACTAATATTGCAAAATATCCATTACAGCACCGCCACAACACTATAACATGACTTTTCTGACCCCTCCACCATAAGAAATTTGTGAAGGGAGACCCACTTAGGTGGAGCCATATGCCACAACAGTATGTGTATACAGCAGAATTTGGGCCTTCTGACAGCCCTGTTTATCTTTGCATCAAACACATATGCAAATCATTCAATAAAACAACACTGCACATGTCTTACCATTTTATGTGCCTTGGAAACGTTCCACTCCCTTGCCTTTAGAAATCGAATTAAGGTTTCCGTAACACATCCTTGATGAACATTCTGCAAAAAACAGCAATTAAATTCCAAAAGAAGAGATAGAGTGCTTTTCTGGTGGCAAACATTTGTCCTTAAGCAGGTGCATTAAGTTGTCAAGAGATCACCAGATTTCACCAAACTCAAACTAGAATAAGTAGATAATCGCACTCAATTGATTGAATTAGCAGCCATCCAGAAATAGAAAGATCTTATTACCAATTACATATTTGTCAGCACACTTAAACAATAAAAGGTGTGGAACACAAGAAATGATTGTCCCCTTCAACCAAGTTAACATTGAGTTTCGAAGAGAAACACAGAAGTTCAACATTGATTTACCTACACACTTGAAATCAGATCTCATCCCCCTCCCCCTTTCTTTAGCTGAATCATCAGTATCCGAGAGAAGTCTTAAACAGAAGAGGAGGAGGAATGTAGAAGAGCCAATTAGTCAACAGCATCCATGAAACACACAGACAATCATTGGAATTTCAGGGTTCCAAAGACCACAGTAAACAAAATCCATTGAGCAATTTACACGGGTCAGACACAAAAAAGAGAGAGCTAGATCAGGGTCAGCTCGCAGATGTTGAACAAACAGACATCCAAGAAATAAAAACAGAAGAAAAAATATTAGAATGTTCAAAGCATATGGGAATGAGTAACCAAAATGGTCACCTGAAAAGTTCTCAGCAGTGGCTCCTCCTCAACTAGAAAGAAACAATTCAACAAAAGGAAGAAAGAAAAGAAAAAGGGGTGAGAGAGAAAAACAAAATAGAGAAAGATGAAAAAGAAAGAGAAGATGTGATAAAGGTAAAACCTTGATCCATGAGAGCTTGCAGCTTCTTGAGGGCATCCTCAGAAACAACAAGGCCCATTTTGTGTGTTGGTGAGAGAATGAAAAAAAACTAAAACCCCAGAAGAAGAGAGAAGAGAAGAAAAAGAGTAATTTTTGTCTGGTAGTTTTTGTAGCTTTAGCTTCACTCACTCACTATCTAGAGTGTTTGCATTGCTTGACTGTTACAGATACAGTACTGCACACCAAAGTTTGATGTTATATGCAGTCATTCCACTTAATGTTCAGTAAGTGACTCAGGTAGATAGTTACACAGATAGATATACCCAAGATTCAATCCACCATGCCATTCACCTCTCTCTTTCTCTCTTTCCCTCTTTCCACTGTTTATATTAGTTTTAACCATTGGCTTTGCTTTTGTAATTATCTGGTTGGATGTCTTTTTCAAGACTACAATATTTTTTTATAAAATATATCATAATTGTTGTTCATGCTCAGTTATTAAAAATATAAACTAACTTTCTGTTATGTCTCTATTTTTTCCTTAATTTAAATTATATTTATTAATTGCAAATGTAAGAAATATACTAGTAATGCGTGATAAGTATTGTCTTAAAACTGAAATATAATAAAGAAAAAAAATTGGAGGGAATATCTTTTATTTTATCAGAACTACTTTTTCATAAATTAAATGAAATTGTTATAAACCATCAAATTTTGCTTTTTAATATTTAATTAAGCAATTCAATACTGTTAGCTTACTACAGTTAATTTTGTAGACAACTACTTAAGTGGCTTTGTATTAAGTAAAATATAAACAATTTAAAATAAAAATATGTACAATTAGTTTTTACTACAATTAAAAAAAAACTGGAATGAGTTGATGTTTTAAAAGAAAATATATTAAAGTAGTGATCATAAAAACTTATTTTAGTTTTACTGTCAAAAATATTTAATTAAATAATTAGCCTGTAAAAGATAAACAATAGAAAATATAAAATCATAATTATAATTATTTTAAAACGTGATCACAATTATATTTTATAAATTAATGATATCGTGGTCTTCATTTATAACTGTGGAATGCTGATATAGGCATGACGAAATCTGAGCCTTCACTGCTCTGGTCCCGGCCTGCTCGATCTATATATTTTCCACCGACTGATTTAAATTTGACTTTTGCAAAGGTGACAATAATAGATAATTAAAAATCTAACTATTTAAAGTTTTAATTGGTTGTTTTCTTACTTATTTTGTCATGCACTTTATGGAGAAAAATCTAACCTATTCTCACATATTCTTTATGAAAAAAAAAAAAGAAATATACTTGCACATCATAATCCGATTCCCTAATCATGAAGTTCCTATAACAGGTTAAATAAATGCTCCATTGGGAAACCTTAAATTTTTATGGTTTTTCTTTACTTTTTTTATTCAAAGTTAATGTTATTGGTTTCTTATTTAAGAGCCTCCTTTATGAATTTTACCAGTTACATAAGATAGTTTGTGTTTTATAAAACAAACCAATATTATGATTATTAGAAGATAACTAAACTCATTAACATTGTAATTGATTGGTGTGACTTTGGAAAAAATTAGTATAATTTAGATAACATGATAATATACAAGGTTAATAGTCAGCTACCAAAAATCAAGATTAATAAATAATATGATTAGATTTTATCTCTTTAGGGTTTATATATATATATATTATATAATATATATTATATATAACTAAGAGCTAATTAATCTGAACATTAGTATCAAACCATGAACCAAAACACATCTTTGTATGATTTTTACTGTACCACCTGTTTTGCTAAGCAATTATAATTCATTGGTTGGAATGTATTGAATAAATGTCATGAAACTAGTTTGTGAACTAGTTTTTATAAGCTCCAATCTTATAAAAATTTAATTTCACATTTTTTATATTTTAAAGTCAAACAAATTTATTCACTGTTGATATATAATTCGATTGTTAATAAAGAAGTGTTTTAGTTATTCAATTATAAAAATTATTTTATTTTTATCTTTTTTATTATTATTTTTTTCTTGTACTCGTTTCTTTCTTTTGGCCACCAAACATAGCATTAGCAAATAGGTGGTAGAATGGTGAAAAATAGATAATAAAGTAAAGGAAAGAAGATGATAAGATTGAAGAAATTACCTGGACATTTTACCTGGCGGTGGCATGGGCTCGAAATGGGCCACAGTTGAATGTTTGATCAATTAAAGGAGCATGGTAAAAAATGCAACATGTTTCTTCAAATTTTAAAACATGGTTTTAACATATCCATGGGTGTTTGCCTCTATGGTCAACTTAGACATTTTCAGGACTTTAATTCTGATTATACAGAAATGGTAAAATACTTTTTTTTAAGGCAAAAGAGAAGGATGGGTGAATATTAAATGGTTTCAAAAAATGTGGAAGATTTGTCGGAAAGTAAAAACCCCAATTGTGGATGTCATTTTCGCATTGTATATAAAATTCTAAAGTGACATCAAAATACAATCAAAATTATGAGTTTTTATATCATCAATACAAATAAGTCAAATTAAAGAAGGATGAAAATATATTTTAAAAAATATTATCAATGATTTTAAAACAAATTTATTTTCTATTAAATAATTCCATTTTTAAAACATGAAATATTCTCCTCTTTAATATAAGTTTTCAATCTAAAGCTTTTTTTTCTCCATCACAACATTTAATAAAGAGTCATAGACGATATCGAAATTTTAAATAATATAAGGTTTTTTTGCTTTAGGATAGGCTCTAACCATAGCTCTGATATCATATGAGAAAGTGAGTTTTAAGCCTAACTAAATCCCACAAAACCGGTTTGTAAGATGAGGTTTACATCCATTTATAACTATGAATTGGTCTTATCTTAGTCAATTGGTACTTCCAACAATTAATCTATTACGATGTTTGATGTTATTATTTGCATTTATAAAGTTTTTTTAGTTTTTCTTTTCTTTTTTAATATGTTCAAAAGACTTTATAAATACTTTTGTGTTTTAGCCTATTATCTTGATATAAGAAAAACTAAACAATGTCGATGATTTTTAGAAAGTTGTAGTCATAAAATTTATATGATGGCGTAAATGTATATGAAAATGTTGATTTCTCAAAGTTATTAAGTTAAACTCTTTCGGTCTTTTGCTTTGACTTTTTTTTTTATAATCATAATCTGTATAAATATTAATCTACATTTGTTTAGTACTTCTTTTTATAAATATAACAAATCTATCACTGATTCAATTTAAATAAATTTGCAGATCAAATTTAATTTTGACCTAAATGTTTTAATTTAACTCGATTTAAATCTAAGATGACTTAAGAGTTTTGGCCAGTCTGAGAATTATATAGTTTTTATGAAGTGATTCAGTGATGATTTGAGAATTATATAGTTTTTATGAAGTAATTAATTGATGATGCTCTACATATTTATTATATAAAATTATGGATGTAAAATACATGTGCAAGGTTGCTTTTTCTTATCTAAAAAAGAAAGTTGCACTATCTCACATAACATACAAGCACCACCTATCATGATAACTCTACGTAATGCATCTTTTACTTTTCACAAAGGATATTACTAAAAGCAATTCATATTTCTTTTTATTAAGATAGCATTTGAAGGTCATGAAAAAACATATAAAAAAAGTTTTAATGAAAAAAAAATGTCCCTCAACAAAAGAAAGCATAACATGAAACTTTACCTTTTAAAGTGTCATCCTTCCACCTTGTTAACATGAACGGATTGATTGGTTTTGATATTGAATGTTAAAATGTTATGATTGCTTACAAATTAGTTTTGTTTTGATTCAAGATGAAACAAAAAAAAAAAAGCTATACATTTTGGTTTTAAAAATTTTATTCAACTCAACCTATAAGTTAAAGTATTAGTTTATTTTGATTATTAGGTTTAAGTGAAAACATAAATGTTATATTTAGAAAATTATATAATCGTTCATATTTACCAGTGTATTGTATTAGCCATTATACATGAAATATTTTTGTAGACTCTATATAACATTCATTTATTCTTGTTAAATTATATTTATTTCTCTTTAAGATAAACATCTGAAATATACCAGTGTGATCTATTTAATATAATAAATAAGGTTTAATAGCCAATTTTAGTCCTCACTTTGGTTGAAAAATCTCAATTAGTCCCCGCTTATAAAGTGTTTTGAATTAGTCCTAACTTTTAAAATAGTGGTCAGATGGTCCTTTATGTTAAATATAGTTAACAAATATTAATGATGATGTGATGTGACACAACTTAAAGAACTAACAGAGGGACCAAATCTACACATAGCTTTAAGATGTGTCACATCATCATCGATTAATTTCGTTAACTTATATTAACGAAAGGGACGAATCTGTACCCCTATTTTAAAAGTTAGGACTAATGTAAACACTTTTATAACGAGGGACTAAATTGAGATTTTCAAACAAAGTGGGGACTAAATTGGCTATTAAACAATAATAAATACACAAATTATTTAATTCAAATGTTATATGAAAACCAAACGGTTGTTTCGATAGGAGGAAAAAAAGATTGGATGGAACAACGGTTTTTCTTAAATTAATAGGTTTAAGTAGGATAATCATAAGATGAATGCGAGTTTGTAGCATTTCATTTCAATATCTATATCCATATTTAATGCTTATAAAATTTATATTTCATCCTGTTTTGATAAAATATATCCATATCCATGATTTTAGCGATGTGTTTATTGTTTCAGATATTAATTAAACAATCATTTTATGAAAAAATAAAAAAATACGATAAAGAAAAAATAATATTATGATATAATGTCATAAAGACTTAAATATTTACACAATTAAATACTTGAAAATGAGATATTTAAAAAAAAAAACATAAACAGTAAACAATAAATAAAAGTAATAAGAAAATGTGAAAATAATTAAATGTGTGTTGTGAACTTTATTTAATTTAAATACATTATTTAAATGAAAATGCATAAAAAATTGTGTAATCAAAGTTGTAGTAAGATAAAAAAATATTTTAGTAATATGAAATGAATTTTGTAGATATTAAATAATGAATTAAGATAAATAGTGAAAAATTATTCGATTAAAAAAATAAGAATTTTTCAAATGAAATGAAATTAAGAATAAGAGATCTCGGTAAAAAAGTAAGTTTGTTAGATTATTTATTTCATTATGAGTGTTTTAATAATTAAAGACGAGAATATAAACACGAAAATAATTATAAATATGAAACAATTGTATATATACTCATACTATTCCTAAACTCAATTTAAATACTTAAAAGTTATTTATTCATATATT